AGTGTTTACAGCTTATTTTTGTAATGTGACTCTAAGTGGATAATGTAGCACACAGCGAGGGGCTGTGCATAAATACAGCCCTGTTTGGGATTTTAAGAATCATAACAGCCTTTGAAATATGAAAATCTTGAGTCTTGATACAATCCATATTATTGAACTGATGCCAGCACCTCCATGGATTTGATTAGCTTGCAGCAATCCAGGGATTTGATTGAGACCTGATTTAGGAGCACAGCATTTGTAGGGTGGTGATGAAGTGACACCAACTGTGCAAAGATTCAGAAAGGTGAGGATTGCTTCATCCTTCCCTGCTATAGTTCCAGTGGAAGTGCTCAGTCTTCAAGTTTTTGGAGAATCAGCTCATTTAAGACCAAAGAAATTATTCCAGAATCAATATGGGTCTAAGAAACTCAAGGTTTTCAAAGTAAAACCTTCATCTTGCAAGATTAACAAAAAAATGTCCAGATGCCTGCAGGACATCTGAGCTCTCATCTGCTCACCTGCTTTTATTTTTTTGTTTGAATTCTACATGTCAGTGTTAAAATCTCCTTTCACTTTTTCATGGCCATACCCAAATCTTGGCACATTGTCAAAGACCTCTCCTTTCTCCACCCATGGAAACATCCAGGGTCAGATCCAGCTGAAGATGCCAGGCTGGATGGGGCTTGGAGCAACCTGACATAGTGGATAGATAGATAGATAGATAGATAGATAGATAGATAGATAGATAGATAGATGATAGATAGATAGATAGATAGATAGATAGATAGATAGATAGATAGATATCGATATCTATGGTGTCCCTGCCCACTGCAGTGAGGTTGGGACAAAGATCTTTATGGTCCCTTGCAATCCAAACCATTCCATGCTGCTCCGTCCCTGTTATTGCACAGGATTTGGGCTAGATGACCTTTAAGGACCCTTCCAAATCAAACCATTCCATGATTCTAGGACTCTGGGACTCTAGGATTCAATCTGCTGCATGATTCCAGTTGGAAAATCCCACCAAGGACCCCTCAATGAGATGCCACACTGGGGCACAGGACCTGCTCTCAGCCTGCACTGCTGGAAGTGGTTTTGAGAGAGGAACGTGGATCCCTGTGCCAGGGAGGAATTCCACATTTCACTCTGCCAGCCCTAAACATCCCCCAGCAGGAGAGATTGGTGCTGTGGACATTCCCCAGCCCCTATGGACTCCACCTGTGGTTTGGGTGTACCACAATGACAACACGGGAATTCTCGCCCACGTTTGGGAATTCTGGTCAAAAACCACTTCAAGAAGGCTGGACCTGGACCAGCTAGTCCTGCATGGGCTGATGTTTGTGCTGGGAATGTAAATGATGCTCCTCTCCCTTTTATCACACCTTGTGCTCTCCTGGCTGCAGCACATCAGGGAGGTGGTTCTGGCAGGGTTAGCTGAGAAATATTTTGAAAACCTGGAAAGACAGAAGGCTCAGCCTTCAGAAACCCATGTTCTTTTGTGACTGAGCTTTCTGGATGCACTCACTGCATTTTTAGCAATGAGACCATTGGCAGGGTTTTCTAAAATTGTTGGTTTCCTGCACCAGAAAACAAAGAGAGCCAAACCCTCTCCATTGAGCTCGATTGTTCTTGTTCCTTGCTCTGCTGCAGGAAGCATGAGAAGCCAATATCTTTAATAACTGGGATCCAAGCAGCTTTCTCACATCTCCTTGGTGTTTTTTTTTTTCAGATCAATTTATATAAAACATTTTGCAAATTCTGGTCACGTTTACCATTAGGAACAATTCCCGTTATTCATTCAACGTTTTCCTTTGTTTAATTTAATGGGATTTCTCCGAAATTTCTTCTTATGTCAATCAAAAAAATGCCTTTCCTTTCTTAGTGGTTTACAGCCCTCATATACATGTAGACAGTTATCATATCCTCCCTTAGTCATAATTTGGACAACTTAGCCATATTTAGGTATTTTAATCTTTTCTCGTAAGCCATTCCCCTCTGGCTCTTCATTACTTTTATTACTTTTTAATTTTTATTTTTTTTCCTTCTTTCTCCCAGAATTCTCTCTGGGGTGTTGATTCCTTGCTGAGGTCCCCTGAGTGGAGCAGCATTCAAGAAATGAGATGATCACCATGAGGATGGTTTGGAAAGCTGTTATCTCCGTGGTTGATTCAGCTCCATCTCCCCTTCTGAACCCTCATAAAGGACAAGTTTTCCACTGCCATGTCCTAAAACCAGCAGAGATCAAATGCTCTCCTCCATGGTGGCCACATCCCCTTCATGCACAGAGATTTTTTCTGCTAGAGGTGACTTACCCTGAGTAATTGAAGCTTTGCCAGTAATTCATCTCCTGTGTTTTTCCCCAGTGTTTTCACCATCTGCAAGTCCAATGCGCATTTTGTTTGCAGTGTCCTCCAACGTATCCATGAAGAAATTAGATAAATCCAGGCTTAACGCAATTCCCTCTCCAAGCAGCGCCTCCTTCATCTCCTCAAACGTGACATCTCAAACTTTATCCTGGTTTGTGGCATTCCAGCCAAGGCAGAGACCACAGACAAGCACTCACATCCAGGCCAGACTGAGTCAAGCTTTCAGTTCAGATTTTATGGGACTATCAAACGCTTCACTAAAACACAGAGATGTTTGCCCAGAAACCATTGTAGCTGTTTTCATCTTCCTGCTCAGGCAATTAGAGTTGGAGGAGCTGGTTGCAAGATTGTGAATGTCTCTTATGGAGGTCTCTGCTGGTTTAGAGCCAAAAGGAATTTTTTTAACTGAGCTTCCTCCCTGCTTAAAATGCCCTGAGCTCCAAACTCCACACTGGAGTTTGGTAGTCAGAGGAAATCTGGGCACAACTCCTTGAGCTGTGATTTTCAGGTGCACAGTAAGGTGAGCCTGGTCACCAAATCAACCCCATCAGTGCCCTGCTGTGCATTAAACACCTCCATTTGTCTCTTGGTGGCCCTGCACAGGTTGTTGGAAACAAGAGGGGCTTGATGTCCACCCATGTAGACCTGCCCCTACAGCACCTGTGGGCTGCCCTGGGTCGCCTCAACCCAGAGCAGAGGAAATCAGGACTGGGAAGGGAGAAGCTCAGGACCTGAGGCCGCTCTGTGTTGGCTTGTCATCACCTGACTTAATAGTTAACATTATTATTACATTTAAGAGAGAACATAAGGAATGCATTTGTCTGGAATTACTTATCACTTGGAAGTCTGGGCTCGCAAGGAGATATGAACAGCTTTAGCAGGTCAGGCTGGAAGCCCATGCCAAATAACCTCCTAGCTGCAGCAGTAGTGAGAGCCCAGCAAAGAGTACAAATGTAGGTCAGTCCTACAGCAACACTTCCCCCCAAACACTTGCCCAGCTCACAGTGGTTTCTGGCTCAGGCACTTTCTGAACCAGACATGGAGCCTTTCTGTTTAATACAAAACCCAGATGGATTTTAAAAACCTCTGATGAGTTTTTCTTTCATGAATGCATCCAGTAAACTTTTAATGCTCCCAGGATCCCGTGGCAAGGGGTTCCATGGGATGACGAAGCACGGTGTGGAGGATTGCTCCTGCTCCCTTGGAGCTGCCAGCCACCAGCTCCATTTCATGGTCTGAGGTCTGTGTTAGAGGCAGAAACAGCAAACAGCTGCCTGCTATTCTCTCCTTGTCATTCCTAATTCCTGAGAAGGCCATCGGATCCTCTCACTCATCTCTTTTGGCTGAAGAAACAGAATCCATTTAATTGTTCTCACACTGAGGAGTGTGAGAACCCTTGGCACCACCCTCTGTGTTCCAGCTTGACTAATTCCTCTAGGAGCTGGGAAATTTCAGGTATTCCAGGTGGACATGCACCAAAGTTTATAAAATAACACATTTTCTTTCTATCTATCTATCTATCTATCTATCTATCTATCTATCTATCTATCTATCTATCTATCTATCTATCTCTCTATCTCTCTCTCTATCTATCTCTCTATCTCTCTATCTCTCTATCTCTCTATCTCTCTATCTCTCTATCTCTCTATCTATATCTATCTATCTATCTATCAATCAATCAATCTATCTATCTATCTATCCATCCATCTATCATCTATCATCTATCCATCTATTATTTATCTATATCTATCTATCTATCTATCTATATCTATCTATCTATCTTCTTAATTTCTTAATAGTTTAATATTCACTTGGTTTCCTGAGAGCCACAAGTCCAAGCTATTTCCTAGGATAATCACCCTCCATCTCTCCTCAATGATTACAATGAATTTAGAGTGTAAGATTTACTTCAGAGCATTTCCAGCACCCTCCTCCCCCGTGTACATCACTTGACATTTATCTGTCCTGAACTTCACCTGATGTTTTCTCACTCAGCCATCGGCTTCCAGATGGATTTTTGGCATCCCATCACAGTCACCTTTCATCTTTAGCCCCCCAATGGTTTAGTATTGTCAGCAGGGTGGGCTCATCAGTCTCTCTCCATCCCCACATGAAGATTTCTTCTCCCTTTTTCCTTTGTTTGACACTGGATCCTAATCCATCTGTCAAGTGGAGTGACCCATACCGAACTGTGCCATTAGTGACTGCTGAAACGCCTTGGAAAGCATCTTCCCCTGCTAGGATGAGTGATGTGGGAAGAGAAGGAGAAAGAAATTTCCTCTTATTCCTGGAAATAAATGACAATTGTTCTAAAAGTCTGCAGACGTCTGGCTATTACATCATCCGAGGCTCTGCAGCTTCCAGCTAGCAGTCCCTTAACAAAGGAGATGCATTTCCTTCAAGGAATTCCACCATCTACACATCTGATATTAATTCTCATTGGGCAAATACAAGAATAGGCACAAGTGACTTTTCCAGTTGATGTTTACTTTTTCCCAGGCCACAAAACATCCATTGACTGTGAAACTTCAATTTGCTGCATAACAAATGCCTGCTTTCGTAATAGGTTAATAAAGCTGTTTCACAAATAACAGCACGAGAAGCTACAGATGTTGACCTAAGGGAGGAGAAAAAAAATAAATACAAGCAACATTCGGCTTTAATTTGATTATTTATTAAATATTTATCGCAGTATCTGAGAATGGAAGGAATTTCATTCTGCCCAGCTGGTCATTCTGAGCTGTTGAATTCAGCAAAGGGATGGCTGGCAAGGAGGAGATCTTCTGCCTCCTGGGAGATCTAAATTGCACTTTGAGGCTGCAATTTGGTTCTTTGCTCTTATTTCCCCATCCTTGAGGCAAGAAGGGTACTTTTTTGCTCACTTACATGGGAAAAAACTTTAATTTAGAAAGTGTGGAAAGCACAGAAGTCTGAATTTTCAGTAGCCCTGCCCAGGCTGGGTGGTTATAAATGAAATGAGCCACGAGAAAACCCTTGATCCTTGTATATCTTGGGATGATCCCTGAGATCCAGGAATTCCCTGGGAGCACTCCTCATATCCCCATGCTCACCCAGCAGATTTTCTGGATGAGCAGAAATTGTGGCTGAGCACACAAGGGAATATTTGGGCTGGGAAAGGGAATTAGATGTTGATTGCTGTGTAAATATTGCCCCCTCTGCAGCGAGCAGTCTGTGTTTGGGCAGGATCAGATACTCTTTGCTCACAGTTTGAGGCACATCATGAGTTATTTTGTGTTCCTGCCTTTGGGAACAGGATTTCACCATTGCAAAGGGCCAGCTGAGGTAAAGGGCAGGGAAAGGCATTGGGATGCAGATGCCCTATGGCCTCAGTCTGTGGTCCAGCTGGAAAATCCCTATTTTCTGCTATAACACAACCCAACCATCAGCCATTTTCCAGGGCAATTGCTGGGTGGAAAAGGCAGGGACATCTGGATATTACCAGGGAAGTTCTCTATGCCATGCACCATGCCTCTTTGCTCCTTTATGGAGTCTGATAAGCTCAAATTTGAGCTTTATTCCTGCCTGGGAAGGCTTTATTCGTTCCCTTTCTCCATATCCAGCAGGGTAATAAAGTCTGGACATGAAGAATTTGGTGAATGTTGTGTTCCACCCCTGCCACACATGCCAGCGCCCTGCATTTAAAGGCTGGGAAGTAAACTTTTTTTTTCTGTCCCATAATTTATCCAAATCCTGGTATTTTCCCTAAGCAGCATCTGTTGCAGGGAGAAGTCAGTGGGTGTCAGTGTCATTCAGGATCAGACCAGGACAAGCAGGGCTCTCCTACGTCAGAGCTTTCCAGGCTTTTACCACATTTGGACGCAGCGAGGAGCAGAGATCTGGCACGGGTTGTTCTTCAGCATCTTCTGTGGGTGTCACTGGGACAGAGCACAGAAAGCATCAGCTGCCATAAATCCCCAGACGTGCTAAGTGCCACACAATGGAAATGCTTTCAGCAGGCTGTCAGGAGGAAGAGGCTTCACTGGGAGTAGGGCAGGGCAGCTGCCTCTCTGCTGAGTTTGGCAGATTGGGTTTTACAGCTGCTCCCCAACCCATTACAGCTCATTTCTCTGCTCCATCCCCATCCCTGTCCTGCCCCTGCTGCAGACAGAGCTGTGCTGAGGCAGAGACCTCAGGACAAGGAGCTTCATCCTCTCCAGGGATGCTGGAGCTGTGATAGCAACACCAGAGCTGAGGGCAGTTTATGAGAGTTTAAGGGTTTGGGCAGATATTGTAACAAAAATATTTCTGCCCGTGCGAGGACAAGTTTTATTAAACACAAAAAAAATCAGATATTTGGCATTTTCTGAGTTGCCACCCTCCAGAAGGAGCAGCAGCTGCCTGGGTCAGGATCAAGTGTATGGAAAAAAAGGAGAAAAAGGACATAGCTGTGGCTCCAAGCCTGCTGGAAGCATTTCCATGCCATGCTGAGCCCTGGGCTGCTCTGCCCTCAGCAGAGGGACAGACGTGTTTTTTATGGCCACAGATAACTTTCTTCTGAACATGAAACCCCAGAGATAAAAAGGCCTTTATTTACAAGTGTTGGAGCAGAGAGGTTGCAAACTGCATCCCTGAGGCAGCCAAGATTTCTGTCCAGGTGTGGGAGCAGACTGGGCAGACAGTGCTATTGGAAATCATCCATCGCATTTTGCCCCTGGCACTTCCGGGTTCTTTTGCACTCTTTGCACTGAGCTCTGTGAATTTCTCCTGCACAGAAAGAACAGAAATTAAGCAGAATCCAGCTTTTCACTCCTCCCAAGCAAGACTGATTCTTAAATTTTTTGGGGAGGCTCAATAATTTGGAAAGTTTTGGGCCGTGGATCAGGGAGAGGAGTCCTGCAGGGGATGAGACCGCTGTGTATCCCCATCTGTCCAGACTGGAAAATCCAAGAAGATTTCTGGCCTCTTAAATGGCATTATCTGCAAATAACTGCAGCCACTGATTCTGTGGGGTTTTTTTTGTTTGTTGGTTTTGGTTTTGTTTTGTTTTGTTTTGGTTTGGTTTGTTTGGTTTGGTTTGGTTTGGGTTGGTTTCGTTTGATGTTTTTGGTTTGGCGCTTTTTTTTGTTTGTTTGTTTGTTTGGGTTTTTGTTTTGTTTTGGGTTTTTTGTTGTTTTTTTTTTTTTTTTGTTTTGTTTTTTGTTTTTTTTTTGGGGGGGGTTCTTTTGGGGAGTATTTAAAGAAGAGTTGCATTTTTAAACGTTCCTGAAGGATTTTCCTTTTCCAAGCCCACTCTCCAATTTATTCCTACAAACTCACCTAGCTGGGAGCCTTCCCCCTTCACTTCTTTCCACACAGAAAAAAAGGGAAAGGCTGAGAAGGGAGGCTGTGAATGCCTGCAAAGCCAGGACAGCAGCATCAGCACGAGCTCCTAAATCAGGAGGGAACGTTCCCGGGAATGCCACGTTCCCAGCAGGAACAGCTCATTTACATGATGGCAGGACATGGAGCCCCAGCTTGGGCTGGAAGGGTTCAGCAAACCTGGTGTGACAACATGAGCCTTGTTTCCAGACCCTGCTTCCACTGAGCTGACCCTTTCCAGACCCTGCTCCCAATGGAGGCTTTGTGGGAAGCCCAGGGCAAGGAATAAAAGAGAGAAAAGGAGGCAAAAAGCGTTGGAGCCTTCACTGCCTCCAGAATTCCTGTAACCCCTCAGACTTCTCCGTTTTCTCATGGAGCTGGTGAGGTTTTGGGCTGTTCTGATAATTATCAAATTATGGGGCTTTTTTGTAAATAATAGCTTTGTCTATTTTTAGACAATAGGATCTTTGTGTATTTCTTGTCTATTATTGTCAATCCTTTGTCTATTTTTAAAAAATAACGAAATCAAAGGTTCAAAATTTGTTTTTCTACACAATCACAGTGTTATTAACGTGGGGGTGAGAAATCATCTGACACAGGCTGTGTTAGCCACAAACCACTGATAAATCCAAAGTACACGGAGGAAAATATCATTATCAGACCAAACTGCGCTCTCCAACTACAGGCGAAATTATTCCATGATTCCTGATTTTGCAAGATGATAAAATTCATGTTCTTATGAAAGTTCAGCCTCCAGCTTGTAAGGAGTCCAGTGCTGAGCTCCAAATCCCTTTACAGCAGAGAGAAATGAGTCATTAACTCCAACAGGGCTTGGATCAGGCTCCTCTCTGGGAAACTCCTTAAAAAATGATGGGAGTTTGCACATGGACAATCCTCAGAAATAATCTCTGAGTTTTATTTGTACACTTGTGTAAAAACTGAAAAGCAGGGAGGCTGATTTTTTCCAGGAGATAGAAAAATGAGGAGAAAATTGTGTCCTAATGGAATAATTAATCCTCCTTGTGGGATGAACATTTCAAATCAGAGGAACAATTTACTGTGGGAAATGATTTTAGGAGCACAAATCGCACAAGAGATAATAAGATTTCACTTTAAATTTAAAAATATTCCTTTAAAAACACCTTCTCTTGTACCCATAAAACTGCTCTTACAACGTTTATGGATTATGTATAAAAAGAGGAAGGGTAATAAGCTCTACTCATTAAAAACCAAAAAATTGTATGCATTTGAACACATAATTAAATACATTTTCTTTGTGTTCAGCTTGGATGTTATTTAACAATCATTTTATCTACAGGAAATTACAAGTAAGATTATGTTTTTAGGGTTTGGCTTTTTCTTTGGTAAAACAAAATTAAAAAGTAAGATACATAACTTTTGCTGCAAGAACGATGCCATTAAATCCAGTGATGCTTTACAAATTGCAGACAGCTAAAAGTAAGTTAATAATAAAATGCAAATATAGAGCTAAAAGTTTCTCCTTTCATGAATAAGTCTGATGTCATATATACAAATATCTAATCACTATTAATGATTTTTTAAAGTACTGTACTGTGATTTCAGAATGGAACTGATATCTACAACCTTGACAGGAACATAATCCCTTTCCTAGTGCTTGTATCACTATAAAACACTGGTTTTAAATGCTATTTCATCCTGAGAAGAATATTTTATAATGTTAGATTTCCATAGATTTTGTGGCTCTTAATGTGCTCTGTGATTTATGGCCCATTTTGTTTTTCAGATCAGGAGTTCTGCTCTTCAAAGAAATATTTTGCCAGTGTTGTTATGCCCTTCTAAAACTCCATTTCAGTGGTAATGTATTTTTAAATAGTAAAGCCCAAGAACAGAAATAGCACGGATTTTTTTTTGAAATCTATACAGCCTTGTATAGTTTTCACGTACAGCCTAACATTCATCATCATCTCCCCGCTGCTTTAGAACCACTAAATGTTATTATTCCCCTCTTTTTCTGCTAGGTAGGAATATTAATGAGATATCATTTCCCTGCTTTTGTAAAAATCCCTCTCCTGTTGCTTGTTCAGCAGATAAAACTTCCAAAAATCAGTGAGCAGCGAGGCCACTGCTGAAACCCCATCCCCTGGACCCGGCTTTGTAAACTCACAAACCACGCTCCACATTTCACCCCTGCTTTGCCTTCCGCTGCCCCCAAATTCCAGCAGCCAAAATTCCCCCAATCCCGCCCGTTTTGCTGTCGAAATTTCCAACGCTTTACTGAGGCAGGTCAGAAAAATCACCACAAACAAACAATCTGATTAAACCCCAGTGAAAAAAAACCCTCTTAGACATCAGATTTCCTGAGCTTTTTCCCCTCTCTCGCTGCTCTACTTACTTGTAATTATGTCTGGGGCCATTCCTTCCTATTCCACGGGATAAACTGGAATATTCTGCTCGGCAGTTTTGTCTCGAGCTCTTTAAACACCAGAGAGACCTTAGAAGCAAACAACCCTTTTTTTTTTTTTTTT